TACTACCTGGGACAACCTTTATTGCATGGACAACCTCCCTTTCCACCACGCCTGTGGGCTCCTCAAAAAGGTCTGAATATTGAGTGACGACTTGTTCTATCTCTGGGGGTGATTTAACGGCCTCCCCTTTTTCAGAGACAAACACTAGGTACATGCCCTCCTCGCGATTCTGCTTGTAGTAGTTATAGAAAGACGAAGCGCACATGCAGCCGTAGTTCTCCACTACACTGCTAGCTTTGTACTTCTGCAGCCTAACGGTCCTACCATTTGGCAACTTGTGTATCAACACCTTTSTATCCCAATCAAACTGTGGTTGCGAGTCTTCGAGGTAGTACATGCCCAATAGCATGTCGAATGGCAGTTCGTYGCTAACCARGAAGGAGATCTTGTGGATCACTTCCCCTCCTCCATAGGAGAAGGAACAGGCTACGTCCTTGACATAGTCTTTTACTACCATTTGGTGCTTGTTGGCTAGCGTAGAAGCTACAGTTCTGCTAAGCCGCTGCACTTGGTCCCCTAAGCACAGTCTATCCACACAAGCACGACTGATGAAATTTCGTGTAGAGCCTATGTCTGCAAAGGCGCCAACTTTGCGGCCACCTACATCTACTTCTACCACGAAATGCTCACCCTTTGGACCTCTACTGATCATCGCCCAAGAGTCCCTGGGGTCCTTCCCTAACCACTCAGTCTCTAACTCTTCTAGGGCCTCAGACATATCTCTCGAACAGAGCGTCGGTGGGTCTGAATGTGTCTGCGGGGCGATACGTGGGTCACTAGCCTTGGCCAACGCCTGAAGTGGGGAAGGCAACGTTACCACTTCAGCGTGAGTAAGAGCGGCTAACACTCCTACTGGCCCGAGGTGTTTCCTTGTGAGCTGCTCGCAGAAGCACTCCCAGGGTTTGAAGATAGACCCACCACCGTTGGTGAGGCTACCTTCGTGGTGACCTTCTTGCCGCAGCAAGTCCTGGACGTGTGACCATAATGGCCACAGTTCATGCATGTACCCCTAGCAACGCGGTCACGCCACACCTCATATTCTAAACCAATCTTCACCCATGCGGGTGTTCCTTGGTCGCCCTGACCCGTGGACCGTMCTRCCTTCTTCTTCCYGGTCCCCCTAGCCTTTTCCTTGATGGGTGCCACGACTCCACCATCTGAAGTCTCACCACCCCCATCGTGCTCTGTGAACTCCCCAAGATCTGAGTAGTCGTCAATCTCCGTTGTTTGACCATCGTGGTCAACGAACATTAACTGATCCTTTTTCTTCCAATCTCGGGGCAGTCTCTTCCTACCATCATTGGATACCTTGTGCGCAGATCCCAACTTTGCCTCTATGTCCAGTGCTTTCTTACTAAAAGAAGCGAAGGTGTGCTGATCGACATAGGCCTCATCGACCAGCTTGGTCCTTACCTCTGTAGGTAGGCACCTTAGGTAATCCGTCAGGAGAACCTGCTGGTCAAAGCGCACACCAGGTACCACGAGAAGGCGTTCTACGGTGTCTGTTAGCTCTCTAACATCCTTGAACCTTCGGGAACACAGGTTGTTGATAGCATCGGTGGCCTCTTGAGCCCCTTGTGGGTCATGCCACCTGTTGTAGACTGTCCGAACGAACTGTTCCAATGTCTGAGCCTGAGCCCAGGCATCGAAATCCTGACCGTAGCCCTGTTGCTGCACTAAGCCATTCAACCAGCGGGCTGCTGATCCTTCTAAAAAGGAGGCAGCCACTACAACTTCTTGTTTTGGCCTTGTGAGCTTGTGCCTCACATAAGTAGGCACAGTCCTCACCCAGGTGTCCAAGTCTTCCTCCTTCTTCTTGTCTCCAAAGAAAGGCTTGGGACTCATTAGAGGTATCTTGGGCATCCACTGCATAGGTTGCATGGGCCCAGGTGCTTGCTGCAGCGGCTGCATAGCCACTGAAACAGGCTGCTGCACACTAACCTGGGCTTGGCTGGATAGTGGGACTGTAGTGACCACTGTTGTAGATGGTACGGTTGAGACTGACTGAACCGGACCACTAGTTGCTACCAAACCACCTGGAGGGGGTATGCCAAACATAGGAGAGAAAGTGTGCCCTGTGCGTTGCGGCATCGTGGACGGGCCCGCCCCTGCAGGGGAAACTACAGCAAACTGTGGCTGCCTCACCATCATGCGAGGGCCCCGAAGTTCAGCCATAATTTGTTTCTGGCCTGCTACCAAATCAGCCAACAATTCCTGTTGAACGCTTTGCGCTTCTGCCACTGAAAGTAAGGCGCCTCGCAGCACACGGACAGCAGGGTCCAATGTTGACTCATCTAGTCGTTCAAGGAGGCCTAGCTCCTAAGCTCTACTCTCTAGTCTAGCCTTTCTTTGCATAGTTTTCCTTCTCCTCTCTACCACATCCTCGATCTGCCGCTGTAACACATCCTGAAGTTCTTCTGCCTGCCGGATTTCTAACTCCTCCGGCGTGAGTGGAGACTGGCTGACTCGCACATGACCAATCTGACTAATGGGAACCTGAGAACCACTCTGACTGGCTCCTGAAGAAGTGGGTTGTGTAGAGGGTTGCATCATAGATGAGGTAGCCATGGCTGCACTGATACTAGCTGAAACTCTAGCCCTAGCACTGTCCTCAGTTGCCCTCACTCTCCTTGCCGCTGCCCTCTCTCTAGCCTCCCTGCTCAATCTTCTCTTGTCTCCTGGACCTAACTCCAAGAATGTCAAGGATCGACTGCGGGCAGTCCCGCGAGTAGTCCTACGGTCGTCCACTAGTAACTCCTCCTCACTTGTGCTTGCATCACTCATGAGCTACAGTGTGTGTGATCTAAACTAGAATCCACATCGAATCCTACCTTAGCTTGACACACATCCGCATATGATACACAACTACTTACGGTCGGCTGGAACAGAAATAGTTAGGTGATGTAGTTGCAACTAATGTCAGGTCCTACACGATATATTTATTCTATTTTTGGATTACCCTGGAACAGATTGCACTACAGCAAAGATCTAATCTATCTGTAGTTGTCTGTCAGTTGTTAGCGAAGTCTGCCACAACTAGATAATCAAAATAAAAATAACATCTCCTGTTGGAGATGTACACTGAATGGCAGATTATCTGTTGATTGCCACTGTGAACAGTTACCGGAATCCCCCCTCCCCCTGTATCCTTCTTGAGTAGTCACTTTGTGTCAACGTCCCTGAGCATCTGGTTGAGCAGCGTGTCTTAAGGTGTGCAATCCGGTCCCACCCCTGTGCCTCAAGTCATCGTCGAGCAAGGCAGCCACAGCACTCTTATTTATCCTCGTACGCCGACGAGCCTTACACCCGGTTGATCTGGCTGATCAGGAGGATTATTAAGAGCGCCCCCATCTCTTCAGGAATTATTTAACGTCRCAGTCAGGACGACGATCACAGCCAGATTCAATCCGAGTCCCCAACCAGAAATGTTTATAGACGGTCTGGTGAGCGTCTCCTAGAGGCTGCCATGCCCGAGTTGACCCCTATTTGCGCAAGCAGCAGATCCAAGGACTTGTGCCCAAGCATGCGTGTACTAGTCCCAGCGGGTTGGCATGGTGACGGTGACCCGAGTGCTTCGTCCAGGGCCCTTCAAAGGCTTTGCCCGTCTCCCACCAGCTTGCTGCCCAGGAAGAATGTGGACTCTCAAGGTTGAGCGCTCGCGACACCTCACACTGAGAGGACTCTCAAGACAAAACTCACTTCCTCACGGTAAGAAGAGATGAAGAAGGTAGATAAGGAAGAGAGCAACGTACCTTATAATGCTGCCCCCAACCACAGATTTCTCACCGGTAACCTGATGTGCAATTATGATGACCGGTCTTTGCTTCGGCACAGCCAACAGCAGAATGCGGTTCCACCTCAGCTTAATATGTCACATCAGCGAGTTCTCATCATCCAGCATACATCCCGTATGTCACCACATAGCTCCCTGGCGCGCCCACACTACCCTGGGCCGCCTAACATTCAAGGCCAATGCCTTATCACTGCCCCAGACCTCACGCAAAGCACCAATAGCTATTGCGAAGAATCAATGAAGCGCAATATGAACCAGCTCCGATACCAAATTGCAAGGAAAATAAGCAACAGCGAGATGACAATCCCAGATCACACCATCACATTGCAAGCCAAATAGTCACACCATGTCCAGATAGCAGCATTGCACCAATAATACACCAATGGAGTTTCGTAGCACTGAAAACCAATGTCCGTGGAGAGCACACTCTCTCCTCTCAACAAAAGAGYCCAGTTCCCTTACACTCACACTTGGCGCTCAGCGCCCAGCCTACTCCTACACAGCTACTACAGACTACAAAAAGACAATGCAACTGTTGACATCAGCAGCAGCCCGAAGTACTTGAAGATGCCGCCCATGCAGACCATCGCCAATACAAGGTACGTGCCCTCACATCATCATCATCATCATCATCATCATCATCCTTCACCTATCCCCTGACTTCACCCACACCCGTCCTCTCTGTCACCCGAAGACCACCCCTGCGCTTCACTGTAGTCCAAGCCCTCCAGCTATGGTGGCTGGGCTATGGCGCTGCCCTCAGCAGCGCCCTCCTCCTCTGCACGACCGAACGTGCTGCACCTCGCCTCTCAGCGCTAGCAGCAGCCTACGAGCATAAGCTCCAGCAGCGCTGCCTCTCAGCATGTGAGTGCCTGAATGCGGCAGCCGGGGCCGAGCTCTTTCCTTTATGGAAAAGAGTTGGCCTGCTCAAGCAGCCTGGCTGCCTTGGCCTGGGCCCAGAAGCTTCCGGAAGGCCACAGGAGGCTGCCTGGATGCAGCAGCTACTGGGCTGCTGGGCCTCGTTTGGTTGGGCACCCAACTGTCTCTGTATGAGGCTGCGAATCACGGCCAGGGCCTGCATTCTCTGGAAAGGTCCAGTAGGCCGTGGAAATGTCCTTGCTGCTCGGCCTGTGTTTCTTTCAACCAACTGGCGCGTCGCAACTGCCTGAACCCCAAATATGAAATTGACAGTCGAAGGCCTTTTGCAAAAAGCCAGGCCCGCCTTCACTTAGGGCGGGTAAGGCTGCAGACAGGGCCCCATAGGCCTACCGAGGACCCTGATCCTCGCATACCTAGCTCAACTTGTTTTTTTTTTCAGAGGTTCTAACCGGCCGTCAGTAGATGTACGACCACCATTTGTCCCTCCACTCATTGTAGTTCTATCATATTGGTTGTTTATCATCTGAAGAGACCCTAGCCTCTACCGCCAGTCAAAGAAACGTGGCTATGCCGCTTTAAACCAACCAGAACCAGTTGTTTTTATACCTCGGTCATCAACCAGACCCCTCCAGTCGGTATAGTTTTGTATTTGTCATCACCTAGAGCATCTGCAGTGTCAGTCATCAAAAGGTCCAAGGCCACCATCCACTCCCGTACCTCTGTCGTATACTGGGCCTACTCAGGGTTATTCTTGTCAATATAGGGAAGCAAACAAACCCTCCACTACAATTTACCCGATCATCACCCCACCTGCGTAAAGTTAATCCCATTTTCATCTTTGTATCACCTAAATACTACACCTTCATACTCCAGTTCTTCAAACCTCCTTATTCTGTATGACTCAACCCCCAACTTCAAGCCAATTTATTTTAGTTTGGAAAATCACTATAACGAATGTGGAAGGGAAATAACCTCTAAAGCATGCGAAGAGTGCTTGCAAATGGGAATAAGGAAGTATTTTGGTATTTAAAAATCAATCTATACTTGGGCCAATCTGCAATTTTGTTCACAATAATGCTTGGTCATCAATAAGTCTCCCAGTATTTATGGGAGGGGCATTAACTATAGGGATATCCTCGATAGCACTCTAAGAGTCACAAATTAAAGGTAATTTCAATGTGCAAGGAAAATGAGAGAGAGCGAAATGACAGAAATCCAGCGTGCAAAATCACACTGAAAGCCAGCAAGTCCAACGCTGTCCAGAAAGCAGAAATGCACTGATATTCCACCAATGGAGAACCAAAGCACCGAATCCAAATGTCAACGAGAGCATACTTTCGCCAGCACCAACATATGTATCCAGAGTCCTTCCTCGTACTTGGCGCTCAGCGCCCAGGCTACGATCACACAACTACTAGCAGCCTACGAATTGACAATGGATCCTGTTGACGTCAGCAGCAACAACCAAATTACATGAAGATGTCGACCGTGTAGACCATCACGAAGACCAGGTATTTGCCCTCACATCATCAACCTCATCTCTCTCTCTCTCACCATCGACTTCATTACCCACGTCTTCTCCCTCTTACACGAAGACCACTGCCACCTCCCGCTGACTGTCCAAGCCCAAGCCCGGCTACGTAGGCTGGGCTATGGCGCTGCCCACAGCAGCGCCCTTCTCCCACGCGTTACCGCAAGCACACGCTTCTGCACTGGCGCTAGTAGCAGCACGCGAGCGCTCGCTCCAGCAGCGCTGCCGCCGCTCTACCGAGTGCCCCCAAATGTTCAACTCGGAGCCCAGCCCTTTCCTATATGGAAAGTGGCGGGCGAATTGCCACTCGCTTGCCCCATAAGACCGAGTTTCCGGTAGCTTCAGTCTCGGCCAAAGTGTATGCGCCCAGGCCCGTTCAGACAGTGGCCTGGGACAATTGGTTAGGCATGCCCAACCACCCAGGCACAAACGTGCAGTGCTCCCTGTTTCGACCATGTTGCTGGAAGAGCCTGGAAGACTCACGCATGTTTCCGATTCTCACGAGCAAAGCGGATGTAACCAACTGGCTCGTGGCAACTGTCTGGCACCCACCAAAATTTGCAAAAATTGACGAACTTAGGGCACATTGAGATTCAGGAGGCACATTGAGATTCAGGAGGCCCGCCGTCACATAGGGCAGGCACGGGCAGGCACGCACCTGCCGAGGGGTAAACCTTTGCATATGGTTAGAAAAATTATATATCAGTTGCTGATCTTTATTTTTTTTAGGAAAATTTTTGAAATGCCCCTGAAAGACTGTGAAAGTTTCATTTATTTGCGAAA